TGAAAGATTTATAAAACCGAGAACTAATTTGTGTTTACAAATATCTCAAAAAAAAAAAAAAAAAAAAAAAAAAAAGCACTATTTTGACAATGTTACTGAAAAAAAAAACAGAAAATCGATTCCAATCAATATAATTTCTGTTTGAAATAGAGTATTTTGCTTACTGGAAAGAGTAAATTTAATCCTTTAGCATTCAATTAAAGCTAAAATGAAAATATTTAAGAAAGCTTTTTCATTTTTAAAGACTAATTTAAATTAGGAAACTCCATGAGATCGCTAAAAAAGGAGCATAGCATGATGAAAAAGATGCCAAACCTGACAAAAACAAAATTTTATTGTCTAAATGTTTATGTTATTAAGAGGAAAGACCAAAGTTTTCTAAAATATTTTTTAAAATTTTTCCTTCCTTTTAGAACATTCTAAATTTTGATTAAAAAAAACCTTGTTTTTCTTTGTATCACCGGAACTAGTAAAATAACATACAATTTTTAGCATGTTTTTTTTTTGTATGACACACATTAATTTGGAAAATCTTGCAAAAACAAAAATAATTATCCGATGTTAATGAAACTTTTAGAAACTATTCACAAATGATGGAAATTATTATAAATATGTTTTGTTTTTTTAAAGTCATGGCAGAAATATTTTTTTATATTTATTACCTCGCCATAACTAATTTTATGAAAACTCTAGAAATTCAATTGAATACAGTTTAGTGATTACAATAGTTAAAAGCACAAGGCTTTGAGGAATGCAAATCAGGTTTGTTTTTTTTAATTGGATCTCCCCACCACCTGAAAATCAGCTCTGAATTGTAACATACAAAACTCAATAAAACAAAGACATTTAATTTCAAATTATTTTATTTGCTTTTAGTTGTTTTTACGAATATGGACAATATTTTCTGAAAGCAAAAAACTTTTTCAATGAAAAATGAATTTTTAATACAATTATTTGTTATTTCTTTAATTATAATAGATTTTTACATTTAAGTTGTTAAAATATTATAAAATTAGTTAAAAGCCGCATCCACTTTTGTAAATGTCCTTATGAGATAGATCTTTTTTACCACATTGTAAATTGTATCATTTTGACTAATCAGAAGACCTGCAGTAATTAAGAATTTTGTGTTTATAATCGAACTGTAATTATAAAGTAGGGAAGACCAACCAGAATACAATTAAGTTGCGTTATTTGAGTTGAGCATTGTTCTCTGCTGTTAAGGCCTTTACTTTTGCAAAACACGTGTGGAGAAGTTTATTTGATTTTTCAATTTCAACTGAGAAGGGTATCTACAAGTATCATCTTATGAAATTTATATGATCTTATTCTTATATTAATCTCAGTTATGACATTTTTCCATAAATGAAATATCAAAATTAATAATAAAATGAATGGAAATACAAATAACACAGTAAAATGTAATAAATGTACATAAAATTATAGTATTTTATGTACAATTCTGATAAAATTTCATAAGAAAGATACCTATAACTTAATTAGATACCTTTCTTATGAAATTTAATCTCACTCTCAACAGTCTTATTTTAATTTCTTTATAATATATTTTTCATAAAGCATCGTAAACGTAAAAGCTAAGTACAAAAAAAAAAAAATTAGAGCGCTGAAAGTTTTCCTTAAAAATAACGAGGTAAATAATTTGTTCACTTAAATCTAAATAATTTCACTTCTATGTTTCTGTAGAACAAATTATCCTCACGTAATCCGTCAATACGTCATTCATCACCTGTCAAGTGACGTGAAATGCTTTGTTTTATTTTCAAACCACATCTTTTTGGCACATAAGCTAAGTTAAACTTGGTTCAAATATTTTAAATAAACATTATAATTTCAGATTTTCAATTGATTTTTAAAAGAATTTCAAACTGAGATTTTCATTTTTTTTATAAAATGGAAAAAATGGTTGACATGATCGATTATCTGTCAATTTTGCTGATTCAACAAAATCAAGATTTTTAACGAAAATTTCGGACGTGCTAGGAATGATTAAATGATCTTCCCTCTTAATAATAACAAACATTTAGACGATAAAATTTTGTTTCCGTCAAGTTTGGCGTCTTTTTCATCATGCTATGCTCTTTTTAGCGATCTCATGGAGTACCTAAAACCTTAGGCATCGGGATTTTTATGGAGGTACCTATCTGTCATCACGCTGTCAGAAAGTCAACACGGATACCGTCGGGTTAAAAAAAAATGTATTTCTTTGATATTTTAAACTTAAATTAAATAATATTTGTTTCAAATCAGATTAATTATATATTAAATAAGTTAATATTCCTCAAATAAAATTTCAGAAAAGTATATTTTATTTTTGGAAGATTTTTTAATAAAGAAAATTACAAAGCAATGAAAGACAACTAAAAAAGGGGCGCTAATCAGCTATTAGAAAAAAAGAAAAGAAAATCCTCTTCCAGTCAAAACCCACGACTAATTCGCCAAGATAGGTACCTAATAAATTGTAGGTATGCTTCTCATATTTGAAATGTTATACATTTTTTTTAATGTGTTAATTTTTTTTTTCATATTTTTAAGTCTTAATTGTTATATGACAGTTTTGAAAATATTTTACTTTCAAGTTACTTAAATTGAAACTAAAAAAAAAAAAATAATTGATGACTCGCTATAAAACAGTACAAAATTCATGGTCATCCGTACATTTGAAATAAAACCATTTTTTTTTTATGCACACACACAAAAACAACAAAAAGAAAAGAAATAACAATAAAAAAAAACTTTGTAAAATTCTACGGGTGGTTTGCCGATTGTAAAAGCTTTAAAGTTTATGATCTGTAGAGTACACCATTGCCTAAAGCTCAGTTTGACTTTTGATAATTCATAAAAAAAAAAAAAAATGTAAAATTGTAAAAAAAAATTAAGAAATATCAAAAAAGTAAAAATAAAGAAAATTGTTGTAAAAAATCGTTTCATCGAAAAAAATTTTTGCCGTCAGACAATATTGACTTTATTCATAAGCTACTAAAACATTTAAATAATAATGTCTTTGTTTTGTTGGGTTTTACTTTTTTTGTATGTTACAATTCAAATCTGATTTTCGATAACGAGTGGTTCAATTTTTTTTTATTTTAAAAAAAGAAAAAACAGGAAAAAAGAAGCATGATTTAAAATTTCTTTAACGACTTCTGCTTAAAATGATTAAGAAGAGGGTCGGTAACAGATGTAAAAAAAATATATACTTTTTTAGTTTTTTACCATAAAATTAAAAAAAACAAAAAACATTTAAATAATTAATTTCAATCATTTGTGAAGATTCTGAAAGTTTAATTAAATTCTCCAATTTTTTTATTTTTGCAAAATTCTCCAATTCTCTAATTCTGTCACTGCAAAAAATGCGGTAAATAAAATTTGCTGTTTCGTTGACGCAAAGAAAGAAGTTGTTTTTAATCAAAAGTTAGATTCTAACATTCTAACTATTAATTAGGATGTTCTAGAAAGAATGAAAAATTTAATAAAATAATAATAATAAAATACTTTGGTCTTTCCTCTTAAACATTTTGTTTGACGATAAAAATTTAAGGCCGTTTTTCATGCTATGCTCTTTTTTTAGCAAAACCGTGGTGCTACTTAAAATTAGTTTTTGAAATACAGCAAATAAACTAAAAAAGTACTGATTATTGGAAATTTAATCTATTAGTCTGGAATTAAAAGTAAAATAAAAGCTTCAAAAGAGATTTTTCATTTTAAAAATTTATTTTAAACTTTAGATCGCATTTTTGTGGCGGTCCCTAATTTAAAGTTTATCACAGGTATTTTTAATTTATAATTTAGGAAAAAGCAAAAGGCACTATTCGCGGTTTCAGACATCTGCGAGGATTATTGCAACTTGTGATTTAAGATATTTTTTAACTTTTTATTTTATTTTACTAGACCGTAAACGAATTGAAATGAATTGGCAACAATTCCACCAATTTGCAAAATTGTTTAGCTAAAAAAGTTTAGCTAAAAAAGAAAACTTCATGTATCTATTGAGGCGGCAATGTTTTCACAAACGATAAAACAAAGCGAAACTACGTTTTTGTTGATAGTCTCAAGAGATTGTAATGATGATGATAGCTGAAATCGAATTAACGAACATGTACATATGGATAAAGTTTGAACAAGTTTAAGCAAAAAAGGAGGCGATAAGGTCCACACGCAGCCTGTGATCTCCACACACAAAGAGATGAATGCATTTTCATAATGATTTTGATTTTTAGACAGGTCCTAAGTTTTCTAAAGAGTCAGAATTAAAAATTTATTATGAAAATTATGACAAATTATTTCACGACGATAACCAAGTGCTAGAAAGTAATGACATAAAAACAAAATCATTGTAGGCTATCTGTTTTTTGCGTTATTCAAACTAACTATACGAAAAAAAAAAGAAGTCAAATGGTGAATATAGTTAAGTAAAAGATGGAGATGCATTTGATTTCGAACTTAAAAGGTAAACGTTATATTACAATCTTTTATATTTCCACAAGGAAAAGAAAAAATATCAATTTCAGAAAAATAAGTTCAGTTCAAAGTGACACTCTTTCTTTAGTTTTTGAGTTATTTCAGTCGACATTGAAGTTTTATCATTCATTACATTAGCATTGGGAGCTTTTTTGTTCTTTTTACAATTGTAGATATCGAAAACTAGAAAACATGATTATGATCCAGTGTTTTATTAACAAAATCAAGTAAAAAAATATACTGCGCATATTTATTTAACTCAGCCAACATCAAATTATTATTTTATTCAGTGTCTTAAATATGACATTAATGTACATTTCTAAAATAATATAAGAAGGTGTCAAGTCAAATATTACATATTAACACTTTTAAAACTTGGACGTATTCATTTTGGTTAGATTTACGAACCAAAAAGTATCAATATTATTACCCGTCAACGATATTAAATAAAAAACTTGGTAGATAACGATTACAATAATTTAATGCTGTAATGATAAGTGTAAACACGATGAGTATAGATTTACCTGCATATTGGGAGAAGATCTGAGGGCTGTTATTCATAAAAGAAAAAGAACAAAAGTTACCCGGTTTTCACGGTAAAAAAAGAAAAACACATGGGCAACCGGTGTTCTTTTAAAAAACGGTGTCCTGAGAAAAACTATTACCTCTGAAAATATTAGCTTCAATGATTTATTCGTGGTGTTGTTTTATTTATGATGATGATGATGATGACACGATTATTTACGTTAGTTGTCATTTCATTTACTATCTGTGCCTAGTAACACTTTTTTCTTTTTCCATATTCCACCGGTGCATTTTGCTTAGAATCAGAATGATATTATCAGAATGATATCTTCTGACAACGTCCGTTACTTCCAGTTCCATACCTCCACATTTTCGCGAAAAAAAAAGACAGAAAAAAGGCCCCAAACTCAATAAAACAAAGTTTTGTCATCAAAATGTTTATGTTATTATTAAGCCCAAAGTATTTTATTGTTATTTTTTGAAATTTTTTAATTATTTCTAGCACACTAGAAATTTTGGTTAAAAATTTTGTTTTGTTTACCGTCAGCGGCCGAAACAATGAAATTGAAAAAGGATAGCTTTTTTTGCGCTTTTTCCGGTGAAAAACACATAAATTTGGAAATTCTTGCAAAATTCAAAATTTTTTTAGATTTTAATGAAACTTTCAGGATTATTCAGAAATGAATGAAATTATTTTTGAATTTTGTTTTTAGAAAATCTTGGGAAAATTTTTTTTTTTTTACATATGTTACCACCCACTTAATTTCATGAAATTGAAATTTCAAGAAATTAACTTTTTAGGGCGGGGATTTTTTAAAAATCAGAACTGCTCAGAGAAAGTAATTCATCAATTTGTTTTGTAAAACAGTTAACCCTTTCATCGAAAATCTGCTGTGAATTGTAAAATAAAAATGCAATAAAACTATGACATTATTTTATTAGAAAGGCTTTTAATTTCTTTGATAAATAAGATTTATTAAGGACGCTATTGTCTTAAGAAGAATTTTTTGTTTTCGATGAATAATTAATTTTTACAAGAATTGTTTTCATTTTTAAAATTTTTTTAATTAAACAATTTATTAAAAAATCGCTTAAAATTCATCATTGCTTTCAAGGTGGCGGTATGGTGATATTGTTAAGTGAAAAATTTACGAATCAAAAATTGAAAAGCTCATAACAGACGTTTGAGCCAATATATTTTTTAAAAATTAAAAAAAATAAACATTCCCAATTTTTACCCATGGAAAACTATACATGATATAATCTTTAAAAAAGGTTACGTGATTTGAGTGTCGTCTGACGCACTGAAATTTTTTCACTTTCCTTATTCAGTTCTGTTTCATTATTAATGTCTTCGTAAATCATCACTTCATAATTTCAAAGTAAGTTTTATTTTTTTAAAATTACTATTTCACTAAATAGTTTGGGTCATACTTCAGTCTATTAATTTTTTGTTTACCTCAGTAAACTTAAGAACCTAGAGACGAAACGCAACTTTCATAAAACATCTTGAAATTTAACTAAAAGTAAATAAAATATTAAATAACTGCTGAGAATATATTAATCTGTAAAAATTACTAGGTAGTTAAAAACTAAAAAAATGCGTTCATTTAGATTTCTTAAGTTTATGTCAATTCTGGTCATCCATAAGATCTGTCATCACCTCGGAACTTATCGATACGTCAATAAAGATCAAAGAAAAACAGGACCCATAGTTAAGAAATGATTGTATATTACTTTTTGTGTTATAAGTAAGTAATATTTATTTCAAATCAGATTAATTTAACTTTAAATTTTCTAATTTTACTCAAATAACATGTCGGAAATATATATTTAATTTTTGTAAGATTTTTAAAACCGATAATTTTGTTTTGTTTACAATTTTTTTTAAAATTAAGAAAATGGTCGCTTTTTAAGATTTTGAAAAAATCGAACAAATATTTGGCATTTCAATATAATTTCTATCTGAAATACATCAGAATATTTTACTTATAGAAATAATAAATTTTATCATTTAGCTTTCAATTAAAGCTTAAAGGAAATCTTCAAAAATGCTTTTTCATTTTTAACAATTCATTTTAAACCTGACGTATCGAAAGTTCAGTGGAGGTACCTACTAATACGTATGTATGTATCCAAATCTAGTAGCCGCCGTTTGATCACGTGGTGAAAGGTATGTTTGTTTTCAATATAGCAAAGGCGGGTTAGCCGTCTGATGCCACCAGCCTGTCGTGCAAATATCACATTTCGTCTGTGATGATCATCATTATCACACACATGCACACATACCTACACAAATTCAAATTTCAATAACAATCATTCATTGGCTAGAAATCAACGCTGCTATCTTATGCGACAAATTTGAAATTGCTATTTTTTCGTATAGTAGATTTTGTGCAGTTTTGGGAGAATCGGATCCCAAGCTCGTGTTCATTGATCGCGCATATGCGTGTGACAATTTGACGTCCATTATTCTGGAATGAAACGGGCGGTCTTTCTGACGCTGCTAGCCGAATTTGGGCGACGTGAACGGAGGAAATCTTGCGATGTGAAAGCTATTCTCATCTGGATTTAATCCGATTAGTTGAGTATCAGTGGGGAGATTAGAACTGATAGAAAGCGTTTGGTATCGACAGATTTCAGCAAAAGGTGGGTAACTGTGGCGAGCCTAATTTGCGTGATCAGGGCTAGCCGTGATTTTCTCTTTTAAGTCTCTTTAATTAACAACGGGGAGTATTCCTGTGAAACCCTCCCCTGGTTCTTGTGTATTTAGTTAATGTCGGTAAGTGTTTTTCCCGGCCGGTTCCCGGGTTCCTCTTTGGTTATAATCCAAGTCAAGATTCTCAATTTCCCCAGTTTGTTTTTTGTCCCCATTTTTTTTTTTTTTTTTTAATCTCGACCATTTTTCCCATGGCTGTATTTATTTTATCCTTTCTCTTCCATTAGCGCCTCTTGATTTTGTTTGAAGACAGAATACAGCTGCCTCTCTTATTTCTTTGGGGGGAAGTGGACAGATTCAACTAACATCAGTTATCTTTAGTTTGTGTAATTTTGTTATATTTTAGTTTTTTTTGGGGAGGGGGGTTCATCCCCACCCCTCATTGCTTATCATCAATAGATTTTTTTTTATATATGGTGTGTTTTGTAGGTTCCCTGTATGTGTGTGTGCGGTATTGTGGTATATGTAGGATTGAATGATAATGGGTGAGTTCTTGTGGTGGATGTGCAAATTGTAATAAATGAATGGGTCGTGAATCTGATTAGCTAGGTATAAGATAGTGTCAACCAGACTCAACCCATTCCTCCTTTTAGGCCTCGTGCCACAATTGGTGCATGTTTTCATGCGCAATAAATCACGATAAGGAAAAGGTTTTCAGTGAAATGAATGTTCTTTTCAGATGTTTACGTTCAAATAAACGGTCTGTATGTATATGAAATGTATGTATATGAAATGTATGTATATGTACGTGAAAGAGAGCGAATTAACATGTACAAAGAAAAACCAATGAAGGCGTTTTATTCGTGTGAAGATCGCTAGAGCGTGAAACTTGAGCAATGACGCGATTTGTTCTTTGTTAAGTTAAAATTAATTATATATATATATAAAAAAATGAAATACAATCCAAGGTAAGTCTAGAACGCTCAAAAATTAGCAACGACAGCTTGTCTAGAAAAATCGGGATTCAAATGCCAACAATTGAAAGAAAAGAAGTAAAAGAAAAAAGAGACCGAAGGTTAAGGAGTGAGTATAAAGTGAAAAAAACGACGAAAAGGACAAATAGTTACGACATTCTACACGTACGCAGACGGGCGCGCGCGCGAACGCCCACGCGCATACATACACCATGAAAGAAAAAAAATTGCGTTAATGATAAGTTCATATAAAAAAGAAAAGTCTGCAAATGTAAGCAGTCAATAAATGATACCCCTGACAAGTGGATGAAAGTGTCCGTCTACGAATCTCTGGAGTCGGAACGCTGAAGGTAACATCAATCATCTAAGTGACAAAACTTTTACTTATATTAACTCTGTCTATTTCTCTCTCTCTCTTTCTCTCTCTATCTATCTATCTATCTATATATATATGATAAAAATATAGTTTTACGGTCTGATATATTTATAGGTAAAACTATTCAATATCAAGAATAGAACGTGCATATATATATATATATATATATATATATATATAAGTGGACAGTGAGGTCAACACCAAACGGCGACAGCTTGTTTCCTGCCTAAATGCAATTATTATGACCTGAAGATTATTTTTCAGGCATGAAACAGACTGACACCACTCGACTTGATCACTTATATACGTTCAGCTGTGTTCTTGGACATAAGCTTGTCGGTAAAAGTGGATAGACAATTGAAGACAGCTCCTTTGAAGTCGATGGTAGCCAAAGTTGAATCTTTCTGAAGTTTGTGCCACTCTGACTTTTGGGTTGGCGATTTCTTTTATATTTCCTTTTAGAGGCTCCGAGATCAAGACTTTTGAACAACAAAATAGAACGATTCGATTGGTCCATTATTCTTTCTTTTTGTCACGTGGTATAGTTCTATATTATATCCACTCAGAAAAAGGATTTAAATAAACTGATTTTGAAATTTACAACATCGGGTGCATGTGAATTGTTTCTTGCGTGGGTATATGTGTCACCTGCAATAGACAGACTTGATCTCTTGTGTTATATTACACCTTTCACATTTCTTTCCGGGCCCCACCCAGAGACCTAAGATCAGAAATGGCATCATGACATTTTCCACTGACCAATTAAAACACACACACACACACACACACACACACATTTTACATAGATAAAGCTCTTCGTAAGGTGTGTGCTGTACTCGTGAGAACAATTTTTTTTGTATTTCTTTAAGGCATGGGCTTCTAGGAATCCCTGATTATTATTATTATTATTATTATTTATTTCTGTTGTATACACATTTCCTTCCAGGTTACAACCAGAGATCTAAGGTCAAAAGTGTCTTCATGGTATTTTCCACT